TGCCGGCGACGCCCGCGCCGACGATCGCGTCCTTGGATGCGTCGGATGAAAATGACAAGATGATCCCCGGCATGCAACACGGCCGGCGCTACCAGCCCTGAGGAACGGGCCGCGTAGACGCTTAACTTAAATATTAGCCCTCGTCACAATGCTAGCTCTGCCGCGTAGCCCTCTGGTCATGTGATGGAAGATCACTGTTCTTTGCAGTGTGATCACTGTAGCTTGTCTGCGGTGACAAGGGCCAATGAATGACCTCGATGTCGTCGAGGGTCTCGCTGCAGCCTTTGAGATGTCTCCTACAGATATATACACAAGGCAGAGACTCCAGTTCCCGTGTCTACTAGCTTACGACCCGTTGAACCTCTGTCCATCACTAGCCACTTGCTGTGGACCGATGAAACTAATCCCCACGTTTTCCAATACATTTGGCATTTTGGCCAGGCAGGCGTGAGGCTTGCAGATCCAAATCTGAATTTTTGTAGCCTTTTCAAATCGCTGTGGTATTTTCAGGGGCGCTTTCTCCTGCTCGAGAGAGCCTGTATGCTGACGCACGTGGCTATCAACGGTCTGCAAGTCAATTTTGAAAATCGTAAACAAATTGTTGTGTTATTCCCCTGCCTGGTTATTCCAACATAAATTATCTAAATATTCAGCGCCAGCCAATACATGGCGCTTTGAGCCTTCATAATTCTAGAGCCGACATCGTCGTCATCGTCGCGACGTGTACCCGCACGTGCTCTGCTGCGTGGTGTCCCGTCCATCAAAACACCCGACAGGTGCCATCGTTGCATTTTGATGTACATAGCACTCGTCAGTCATCCTGTATTACTACATAGGCTGGGATCTCTTGCCGCACATGGCTACCACTGCAGCCATCTATCAAGGTATCAGAACATCGATAGCGCGACATGGGTGCTTCAGTTGCATGTGATTGGCTGTCATCTTGAAGTTCGTAGATTTAAAAGCAGTATATCAGCGCAATAATAATGTGTTCTGGGTAATCTATATAGTCTAATGTATGCAAAACTGGTCGGTTTTAAAATATGACAGAAATAAATTTCTAATATCAAAATAGCGAGTGGTTCACAGCGGCCCAGGTGCTGCGGACGACGCTGTCACGAGGTCGAGGCGTGGAATGGCGCGCTGCGAGTCTCCCTCCATCACGTCACACTCGGCTTCGTAAAGGACGATACATATTCTGTTATAGTTACGGCGTTGCGTGCCAGCTACACGAGGCACCACCCATGGTCGTGCTCCGGGATCTCGCGACGCAGCTCCACGATCGCACGGAGGGCGCCGAGGTTCTCGACTGGAAGCGACGAAATCCAAGTCACCGCATGATCGAGTGCTTCGTGGGCGCACTGGATCGCTGGTCGTACAGCCACAGTCGACGAAACCTGGAAGTCATGCGGCTCAAGTGCGCGGAGCTTTTGAATCTCAGCAATCGCAGCAGCCGCAGGAGCGCCCGGCGGGAGAAGCTCGAGGAAGCGAAGCGCATCGTCCAGGACGGAGGCAAACGGCGATGGTAAAATGAACCAGCTAGTCAAAACGAGGCGTTACAGTCCGCGCACGAAGGAAGTGTACGAGTACCATGCCATTTCTTCGACCGTTAGCACTTCTTCGTCCGTTAGCAGCCGCTTGCGCTTGCTGCTACTCTGCGGTTCGTCTTGAGCCTTCCGTGCAAGCGTCTTGGTCGAGCCCCCCATCGATCAGATTATTCAAGGAGCTTTGGCAGCTAGGAGGTCAATTCGAAAGTGGCGATCGCTGCAGACAGACTACCGGTATCTTGAATCGTATAGCCTCTCAAAGATTGTACTGCATTATTTCACACAGGACCTCCAGTATTTCCATGTGCATTGCCTTGATGGGAGATGTTGCGGGTGTACACGTCAAGTGCAGCAGCCGTGTATTGCATAGCTTTGCATACAATAAGCAATTTGCAAACGAGGGTCGAAGCCGCTCCTACCGGTACTGCTGATGGCATTGCAGCAGTTCAGTATTGGCACTCGCTTCGATCCCTGCCACCCCAAGGTGATCCACCTGTAAACGCTTGCATCGCACATAGCCTGAATAGCTCGATACAAAGCTTCTTGTTGCCCAAGGCTACGGGTGGCGCCTCGTTCCTGACACGCTGGCTCGCTACTAGTACTCGTCCTGTTGAAAGCAACATGGCGTGTGGCCTCAAAATCGGCACAGGGTGCCGATTTAAAACCCGAATTGTGGGCATATGCCACCATCTATGCCGAAAATAAAATCGCTGCGCGTGACTGGTGCATTGCAAGACGATGTCCAACTACGCCAAGTGGGACAAGATCCTCCGGGAGCTCGAAGAGGACGAGGCCGAGACCTCGACGTACGGCGAGCATGCTGCATTGGCGCCTTCATGAGCGCATGGCGTAGGTTGGCCAAGACGGCAGCGGCGACGACGAGCGCGCCGGCCAAGCCGCGGCTGTCGCACAAGCCCCATCAGCTGCGCGAGGTACGACGCGACCATGACCCAGCATGGGCATATTGCAGCGCTAGGACATGCGCGAGACGTCGGAGCGTATCCACGCCCTTGAGAAGGACCTCAAGGAGTACGATGCGCTCGCGTCCGTCCTCGACGACCTCCCAAAGAAGCTCGAGCACGAGATCATGGTGCCCCTCGCGAAGCAAGCGTTCATTCCTGGCTCCATCATCCACTCGAACGAAATCATTGCGCACCTCGGCGGCGACCACTACGCCAAGAAGACGGCGATCGAGACGCAGGACATGATTGCGCGGCGCCAGAAGAGTACGAAGCGCGTCCTCGACTGGCGGGATGCTCATGATGAGGTAGACATTACGGGGCAGATCGACGCGCAAAAGGAGTGGCTCGCGTCGCTCCACGACAAGCTCCACGACGTCGACCACGTCCTGAAGCTCAAGAAGGTATTCCTCGCCGTGCTATCTTGGATCGATTGCATCATTATAAAAATGTAGATTTACGAGGAAGAAAACATTCAAGAAATCAAGCAGTCGGAGGAAGAGAGCAACGCGCTCCTGCAAGCGACGGACGCCACGGACGAAGATTTTGAAGAATATTTTGAGATTGAGAATGAAGAAGCCGCCAAGGCCCAAGTGGCCGACGCCTGGAACTGGTAGGCGTCTTAGTCGCTATCCCACTCGATACCCACATGATATTCGGCGTAGGGACGAGGCCATGCAGCGCATGGAAGAGCTCGAAAAGCACGAAAGCGGTATTTTATCCCGTCTAAAAGTATCCAAGTATCCAAGATATGACTCCGAAAGTGGATAGATCAAGCGCAGGAATCCTTCTTTGTCGACCCTAATGTCACCAAAGCCGAGGGGTTCAAGCAGCAAGGCAACGCCGCGTTTGCGTCGACCAGCTACCAGTCGGCGATGGAGTATTACTCCAAGGCCCTCGCGCTGCAGCCGTCGTCGCACGTACGTCGTTTCTTCATTCTCATATTTCTCGAAAGCGCACACCATACTCTAGACGCTGCTCGGGAACCGATCGGCGGCCTACTTTCACTTGCGCAAATTCGACTTGGCGCTCGAAGACGCGACCAAGGCCATCTCGCTCGATGCGTCCTGGCCCAAGGTCCACTAACACTGGTAGAAACGCTTCTCTCATGCTGCCTCGTAGGGCCACTTTCGCCGCGGCCAGGCGCTCGGCGAGCTCGGGCGCTTTGACGAAGCGGCGGCGGCGTTCGAGAAGGCGCTGGCGCTCAAGCCGACCGACAAGTCGAGTGCGGCCCAAGCCACGACCATGCGCGCCAAGGCCAAAGCGAAAGAAGATGCCGAGAACCTTCGCGTGTCCAGCAACTCGAGTGTCTTTTCCGGGCGTGTGCTCGAGCGCGGCACCGAGCCGGCAGCGCCCGCACCCGAGACGACCCCCGTGGTACAAGATGGAGCCAAGTGCGCTCTTCTGACATGGCGTAGGTGGCGCCGAAGCGTGTCTCGCGCTTCAAGGCCATGCGCCAAGGCCAGTCGTTCGAGTAGGAGCGACGATTCGACTAACTTAGTGTAGCACGGAGAGTATGTTATACTCATTACGTGAATATAAACGGCGGTAGACGATCTACCAGTCGCCAGTCGCAGCCGCTTGCGCTAGAGTCAGCATGTAAGAGATGAGTCGCAGAGACGACGAACGACGTACTCTCGGCAAGAACCTTCTTTTGTTTGATGAGCGCGAGCTGGATCGGGTGGATGAACTTGGCGTCAAACAGCTTGGTATAGTCGGCGAAGGGCTTGACGTGCTTGGTCTCCTCTGCGTACGCACATGGCCTCTGCCTCACCATACAAAATATGATCGTACCGCCGTTGAGCTGACGTTCGAGGTCGGCCAGCGTCGGCACCGTGTCTGGGTCAAAGGTGTCAATCTTGCGCGGGTCGATGGGCACGCAGACGCGACCGGTCTTGGGGTGCACCGCGAATGGACTCTTGAGCAAATGGTTGCGCTGCTTCGAGACGTTGGCATCGAGACGCGGGTAGAGGTACGCAAACACGATCTCGGCAATGCATGTACCCAGGAGCCGGCGCTTGTCGTCGCCCAGTTGCTACAAACCCATAAGTGCAAAGTGGCTACTTGATAGATTGATACCTTGCGCTTCTTGCTCGTCAACGCCTCGTGGATCGCGGCCTTGAGACTCGCCCACTTGGTCGCCGGCGGCTCGTTCGGGTTCTTGAGCCACTTGTTGTGGAACGTCGCGCGCATGTCTAGTCGAAATGTGGTGACGCCTTTTTTCATAATTGAATTCTGGTTTACCTTCGTCGGGGACCATTTCCAGAAGTTTTTTCCAGTGCTCGGGGCTGCTCAGAATTCCTTGGCCGTCGTCGCTCAAGATGATGTCGTGGAAGAGCGGCTCGAGGATCGTATACGCCCGTCTACACCCATGAGCCTCCGAGATAGAGAAGGACGAGCGTCGTACTCGAGCGACGGGTGCAGCGGGTCGCGGAGCACAACCTTGCGCTTTGTGTTTTCGTTGCCTTCGACGGTCGTGAGGTACTGGACGACGGCCGACCGCGCGTCGTTCGTGAGCATGCGCGCCGTGTAGTCCGAGACCCAGCAATGGATACCACGCCGACCCGAGTAGACCCACATGAGGTGCTGGAAGCCAAAGTCCTCTATCGCCATGGTCATCATTGGACAGGCGTCAACGGATGATGCGAGGGTACCGCGGAGGGCGGTGTCGAGCACCTTGACCGCAGCGACCATGAAGCGCCAGCAGCGCGCGCAGATCTTAGCGTCCTGGCAGCACGTACGCACGTCGTCGTAGTCGGTCAAATCGACATCAAAGACAAGCTCGCGCTCTTCCGGCACAAACTTGGAGGCGTCGACCTTGCCCTTGTCCGCAGGCTGCAACGATACTTAGCCGTCGATAGCCCATGTAAGAGAGACGTACCGAGACAGTAAAGACAGCGCCAATGTCAATCTTGAACGGCATGAGCTTCTTCATCTCGGCCTTGAACTCGTCGGCGTCGCGGAAGGCCTTGTAGCGGATGTACACGTCGTTCTCGAGCGTGAACGAAAACTCGCGCCGAGAGAGGAGCTCCGTGCCGGGCCCGCCCTTGTCCATGCTGCAGTCGTACCCGAGCCACTTGGTCATGAGCTCGTACGGGAAGAGCCGGTCGTAGTAGAGACCGAGGAGCTCGGGCGAGAACGACTCGTTGACCATCGCGGCAAGTGCTGCGGAGCAAAATGGAACCGACCAATGCGCGGCAAACCCTAAGTACGCTTTTTATCATTCGATATTTGTATGGGCTCTGTAAAGTACGCTCTGCTATAATCGAACTTAATAAAGCCTATACCCCATGCTGGCGCCAAAGCCGCGGATCGATCAAGCGGAGGACAAGTTGTACATAGCTCCTAATGTTGTACACATTGGGACTGTATGGACACGATCGACGCAGTGCAGCGTAAGTATACAAGTAGCTCTCAAGGCCCAAGTGGCTGCATTCGTCAGCCCGAACAGAGCTGCGTGGGTCGAGCACAAGGGTTAGGTAAAGGATAAAGCCATCATATACTAACTACTACATGCACCGAGCGACGAGCCTTTCTAGTCGAGGGTCATGTCGACGTTCTCATCGTCCTTGCCTTTTTGATCCTACAGACACGTTGCATGAGCTCCATCGTCGCCAGCGAGGAGAGATGATGGATGACGCACCTTGTCGTGTGCATAAAACTCAGCCTCGTGCGCGCGCTTGGTGCTCTCGTGGTCTGTGCGCGCGTCGGCGTCGGCGGCGTCTTCGTCTTCTTCGCGGACAATGTAGTCGGGCGGCACAGCTTGCATCTGGACGCTCGGTGCGCCGTTGAGCATGCGCAGATGCTCGAATATCTTGACTCTACATCCACATACGATCAACATCTAAATCTCAATCCTCAGTGTACTTGATGTCTTCGAGGTACGTCCGTGAGTTGCAGTTCTCGAGCTCCGGGTTCGGGTCCAAGTGGAGCTTGAACGAGGGGGCGTAGTACTCGAAATACTCGTTGAACGGAATGTCGTTGCTCACTTGCTCTTCGAGGACGACCGAGGTCTCGTACGCCCACGCTCGGCTCACGTTGCGGATCGTGTAGCCGCCGCCGCCGAGCACGAGCGTGGGCAGCCCAAAGCTCTTGACGAACCGGACGCACTCGCCGTGGCCCTTGACTGTCAGATTGAAGCAGCCAAGTCGGTCGCCTGTGAGCGAGTCGGCGCCGCACTGCAGCACGACGGCGCCCGGTCGAAACGACTCCATGACCTTTTCGATCACGGGCTTGAAGATTGAGAGGTACGACTCGTCGTCAATGCCTGATTTCAGCGGGACGTTCACCGCGTAGTACTTGCCAGCCTTGGCGCCCACGTCCTTGATGTCGCCCGTGCCGGGGAAGAAGTCGCCATACTATATTCGCATGTCCTAAGCTTCAGATGCATGATGATGAGGGGTGTACCTTGTGGAAGGAGACGGTCATGACGCGGTCTGTGACGTAAAACGCTTCTTCGACACCGTCGCCGTGATGGACGTCAATATCAATGTACAGCACGCGCGGGTGGTACTTGAGGAGCTCGAGGATACCGAGCACGATGTCGTTGACGTAGCAAAAGCCGGACGCCTCCGACTTCTTCGCATGGTGCAGCCCGCCGGCCCAGTTGATGCACACGTCGCTGAGCCCTTGGTTGAGGCGGTACGCCGCATCTAACGAGCAACAAACAATGACTCCACGATACATGATGCAAGCCGACGACGTACCAAGCGAGCCGCCCGAGTAGATCTGGCAAAAGTTGAAGATGCCATCAAAGACCGGGCAGTCGGTGAACTCGCCGACGTTGACTAGATCGATGGCGTGAGATCCACGAGAGCGCAGTGCTCTTCGTACATTTGTTGACGTCAGATTGGTACTGCTTTTCGTTGGCCGGGCTGATCTTCTTGAGAAAGTCGATGTAGTCGGCGGTATGGAAGGCCTTGACCTCTTCCGGCGAGGCCCAATGCGGCTCCTAATATGGCCATGAGCCATGCTTTGGCGGCCCTACACACGTACAAACACTTCCATCTTGCGGAAGAGGTCGTAGTTGAGCACGAGGTGGTGGGCCAGCTTGAGCCGATGCGGCTTCATGGGATGGCCTGGACCATAGTAGAAGTTGCCCTCTTCGGCTACATGAAGGCAGCATGAGGCGAGGGCTCGGCGCGCATGGAGCACGTACGGTGGTAGAAGTACGAGACGCGGGACTTGCCCATGCTGCTGTTGCCCGCGACCAGCTCTGTCCGCTAAAACCAATCGGTCGCAGCTAAACCTGCGAGATCACATGTCGAAAAAATCGAATCCGAGAGGTTCTTCGCATTCAGTTGAAATAGACAGCAAGAGACGAGCTTAGTCGATCGCCATGTCGACGTCGTCGGCGCCATGCGTGTCCTAGGACGAGCACCATGAGCGCGACCTCTGGGCGAAGCATGCGCAACTACCTTGTCGTTGGCGTAGAACTCGGCGCTGTGGGCGCGCCGCGTCGGGTCGTGGTCGGCGCGCGACTCCGGGTCCGTCGCGTCCTCGTCGGCTTCGCGGGCCATGTAGTCGGGTGGCACCTATACGACGGCCATACGCGTCATGGCATTGCATGTAGCGAGCGTACCGCTTGCATCTGTACGCTCGGCGCGCCCTTGAGCATGCGCAGGTGTTCAAACACCTTGATCCTAGCACCGCCATCGCATAAGCGCCACCCGTCTTCGCCGACCGATGGCCTACTTGATGTCTTCGAGATACGTGCGGCGATTGCAGTTCTCGAGCTCCGGGTTCGGGTCCAAGTGGAGCTTGAACGAGGGGGCGTAGTACTCAAAGTACTCGTTGAACGGAATGTCGTTGCTCACTTGCTCCTCGAGGACGACCGAGGTCTCGTACGCCCA